CAGCAGCAACCGCTTCAGTGAGTGTTGATTTCTGTCTTCCTCAGTCATGCTTCCATCAGATTCTCTTCCCACAAGGAAAGACAGTTCACAGATGATGCCTTGAGCTGCCCAGGTCGTTGGTAGCGCTGGGGAGCTGGTTTTGGTTTTGGAGGCCCAGAGAGTGGGGAACCTCTGCCAAACCCACCACTGGCCCTGGAACAGGTAGTGCTTTGTGGACACCTCAATGGTCTGGGGCAGGGGAGGGGGTGAGCAAAGCAGAACAGTGCAGAGCTGATTTGGTACCTGCAGAGGGGTTCTCAGAGCATCCTTTGATGCAGGTTTGTTGGGTCCCAGCAGGTAACATGCCCAAGAGGCAGGTTTGGGGGACTCATTGCACTGCTAGCTTCTACAGTGAGTGTTTGTTGCACAAGAAATTGCTATGATGGGAAAACTCACCAGAGCAGGAACAGCACTGCATTTGGTCTGGAACAGAGACCTTGCAGAGAGACCTAGACAAATTCAGGGATGAGAGGGCACTGGTTCTGACACGGCATGGGATCACAGAATCATTGAGGTTGGACAAGCCCTCTGAGCTCATCAAGTCCAACCTAGGACCAAACACCACCATATCAACCAGAACATGGCTCTGAGTGCCACCTCCAGTCTCTCCTGACTCCACCACCTTCCTGGGCAACACACTCCAGTGTCTAATCACCCTGTGAGCAACTAGTTCACAGGTTGTGTGCAAAGTGTTATGGTCAATGGATTACATCAGGCTGCAGCGGTCACTGGGTGGAGACAGGTCCTGGCTGTGGACGTCTGCTCAGTGTTCCTGTTTGGCCTTTTTTGGAAACAGCCTCTTTGAGGCAGTTTGTGTCACTGTGCATGGTTTGTGGGGATGTGGGTGGGTTCGACAGCTGCAGTGAGTGTGGGACACTGCCCTGGAAGAGGTCAAATGCTGGAAATCTGGCAACTGCCTCTGGAGAAAACTTGCTCTGAGGCAGATTTTTCTGAGCAAGGGCAGTTCTGTAAAACCTTTGGATGCTCTTTCAAACAGGTTCTCTCTAGTCTTCCTGGGTAGGGGAATCACCAAAAGTCACCCTCCAGCTATAAATAATTACAATTGCCTATTCTATTAAGTAATTTAAAGGATTATTTCTAGTCTACCTGACTTATAGGCAATTTGGGGTTCTTACTGTAGGCAAAAAGACTGTAGCTGGGCTATCACTCTTTTGAGCTGTTTTATCATTGTTTCTCTAAGCATGGGAATGTATTTTTTTTCTAAACCAGAAGGTTATTAGAGGACAGACTTATAAATAACAAGTCTTGGCTATTTTTAAGCATTTTCAGCATCGTCTATCATGATAGTACAGCACAGCCTGCAGAAAAACTGTCCAATTCTGCTGCCAAAGCTTCATTACTCACTTCTGCTTCTTTGGAGCCAAGTCTGGGTTCCCGCTCTGCTCTGAAGGAATGCCAAGGGCTGGTGAGCTGAGCCACCCACCCTGGCCCTGAACCATCTAAAGCTTCTTCATTGCAGGAGATGTCGTTCTCCTTTATTACAGAGGGGATACCAACAGTGGAGCTGATTTACAATACATTTGGTGAGGTCTTTCTGGGCATGCTGGAGTTGCCACAGCAACCATGGGCCAAACTGGTGCTGCCAGGCAGGATGGGAAGCCAGGGGCTGCTCCAGACCCCAGAAATGGGCTGAAAAGCCACACCTGGGCAACTAAGAAGAGGTGCGGGGAGCCTGGTCCTGAGCTGGGTCTCTATGAAATGACCAGAAAAGTCTAACCCCACCACTCCAGGAGAACTGAGCATTTCAGACAAGAGAATTTATATTTAGTTCATAATTTATTAATTTCCAGATCACCATATCCAATAAATTATAGTCAATATAATAATAACATTGTCATAAAGTATTACCAAGAAGTACTCATCTAATAGTGACTGTAACCTACACAGAGAAGAACTCAGTTATTCTATTTAGATTTTCATTGTTAATGGGAAGTGAAGAAAACATTAAGGAACTTCACAGTAAATTCAGGGAAATCTGTCACTATTATTGCTTCTGTGCAAATGACTTTTAGTGCACACATATAGCTTGGGAAGGACAGGTACAGGTGTGCAGAGTGTCACTGGAGCAAATGGTTCCCTGATGGCTGAACTCACTGCACCTCGCAGTGCTTTTGGGTGCATTTAACAAATGCAAAGTGACTGATCAGCAGCTGATCAGTCTCCAGACCCTCCTGCCAGCCACAGCAGTGAGGCTCTGCATGGGCTCAGGCTTTAAGGAAACAAGTTTAAAAAGGCAAAGCACACAGGTGAAGTCAGTAAACACTGAGTCCATCAGAAGGTCCCAAGTCACACTTGGGTGTATGGGGTACCCCCACGGCTCAGTCCCATTGTGCTCAGAGGAGCAACCTCCTGCAGGGAGCTGCTCTCCCTCTGGGAGCCTCTGGCCACCGCACCGCTGTCTGCACCGATGCTGCTGTGGGCACCAACGCCGCCATCCACACCGACGCTGCCATCCACACCGCTGCTGCCGTCGGCGCACGGTTCGTGGTGGTCTGTCAGGTCCCCAGTCCCACAGGTCAGCAGAACATGCTGAGTGTGGTAGGAGTCACAAACAGTCCCATCCCAAAATGTTCTCCTCCATTTCTGCTCCCTTTGCCAGTTCAGTGAACTTTAATGGAGTATTTCCGAAGTGTCAGGAACTGGAGCAGCTTGTCTTTTCTCCTCTGCTTTAGTGCCATTAGTGCTCTTGTTTTCTCCTCCATGTCCTGGTCGGTGGAGAGAATTATCTTGGCTCTTTCCTCTGCCTTCTTGTCTCCGGAGTTTTTGAAGAGTTTCTGCAGGGACTCTTCGTTGATGCTTTCAAAGATGTTGGCCACGGCTTTCTTGCGCAGGGCCGTGTCGAAGCGGTAGCCGTGGACCGAGGGGCTCACTCGCAGGGATGTGGACATGGCTGGAGTGCTGGAGCTTGTCTTTGCTTTCATCTACGTGGGTGCTGCCGGGTTTGCCCTGAGCTCCAGTCGGAGGGATAGGTGCTGTGCTGGCGCCGGGACTGGTATTTAAAGGCAGGCTGGAGGAAAAGCCGAGGGCTCAGATTACAGTGGTGAGATCACGATGATGTCAACACCCAACAGACACAGGCAAGTTTAACAGTTAAATTGCCAACTTTCCCCTGTCCTGCAGCTGAGATGAAAATTTCTCTCTGCTTCTGCAACAGGAATGGTTTGTCTTTGACCCACCACAGGGCAGGCTTCAACCATTGCTGTGGACTGAGCCAGCACAGCCCAAACTCTGCTCCTGCCCTTGTTGCTTGTGAAAAGCGACACATGCAGAATATATCATATCATAAGCAGGCAAAAATCCAGGTGAGAACTGTTGCACTACTAGCAAGAGGTATTGGCTGGAGCCTGCACACACAACTGGGCACTTGGCTACGTGTCCATCAGCAGCACTGCAAACCTGATCCAGTCTGGGCATGGGATCCTTTCTGCTGCTTCCCAGCAGATTCAGCTCATCTTTAGCACACAGAGCTGCATTCTCTAGGTGGCAGGTGCTATCCCAAAGGCAGGTGATCCATAACGTACTCTGAGATGACTTCCCTGGGTGTTACACTCTCGGCTGCCCAGCTGCATATGGCAATACTTTCAGGGGTCACAGGAAAATTCTCAGTTTGCTGCCCTGCTCTTGCCTCCAGTGTCCTTTTTCTTAAATTTCCAGCTCTGTTCTAAAGAAAGCTTACCTCTGCTCCAAAAGAGTCTGTGCTCTCCACACCACCCTTGGCCAACACCAAGCCCTTGGGCTAGGAGAACTCACTCTTAGTCATGTGGGTTGGTTTTTGGCAGCCCTGCAAGGAGCAGGGAGTTGGGACATGATGGCCCTTATGGGTCCCTTCCCACTCAAGACACACTGTGTCCAGGGCATGGCTCTCTGCTAGGGCTGGCTGTGAGCACTGAGCTCCCGCTGGGCTGAGACACCTGGTCTTACTGAGCACAATCAAATCTGGCCCAGAATAGCTGTGGGTTCAGATGTCGCTTGAGGCCAGGAGCCAGAGATAAGTGTATTTTGGTTAATGTTTTAAAGCAGCCGGATGCTGCAGAGGCTTTGTTTGGAAAACTAGCAGCTTGTTTACTGTTGTTGCTGACCCTGATACTCACCCTTGCAGAAGGACTCCAGGAACAGCCTCTGTCCCATTCCACTTGGACCAGGGGTTTCCCTTATTTACCAGAGAGCTGTGGAGGTAACCTCTGACCATAGTGAAGAGTAGATCCAAAGAAACATTGCCCAGATGCTTCTCATTCCACATTCCCTTTAAACCTTCTGTTCCTTCAGACAGAGGGAAAGGATGCGCCTGGGCCTGGGCAAATCCCCTCTCCGTGGCCAGTGGAAGCCACAGGAGAGATAAGCACACCCGAAGCCCATGTACAGTTGTTGGTGCCAGTTCAGAGCAGAGAAGGAAATTACCTGCCAGCTGTTGCTCACCAGGTGATGTGCAGAGTGGAACAGGTGGCTGCTTGGGCCCCAGAATGACTGACAACCCCAGTTCCATCCAGGCTCAGGTCAACTTGCAACTGGCCAGGGCTTGCCAGGCTTTTATCCTTAGGAGAGGGAGTGGATTCATTTCAGTGTCTGACCACTTTCCTACCTGGGACTTGGGACTCATCTGTTGGTGCTGGGCACACCCTGACAGAGCCCTGTGCCCTGCATCCACCACATCCTGCCAGAGCACGGGTTTCCCTCCTGCTGCTAGGACTTTGCTCCCTGTCGTTGCTCCAGCACGAGATCTCTTCGGCACATGCCATTGCTTCCCACTGGTTCTGTCATTGTGTAAGTGTCTTTTTATGAGTTTGTCCTGATTTCTTTTGCATGTGCTGGCTGTTCTCTGCTTCAGTGTACAAACAATCGCTTTGCAAACCCCTTTCATCAGCCTGATGTGCAGCCTCTCACCTTGCTGTGGTCATGCTGAATTGGTGAGAATTACACCTCGGCCACTGTTTGCTCAATGTTTGCAGGGCCCCAAAACCAGGATGTTTTTGATGTGGATGGGTCTCTGCCTGGGAAAGAGCCTCATGGTTTATAGACTCCATTAACATGAAATGTGAGGAGGGAGGAGGACTAAGCAGGGCCATGCACATCACCTGTCCCCTCCTGCTCCGAGAATGCTGCTGCAGGGAAACCTGCCCGTGATACGTGTCTGGCTGTAATGCCGAGGGTGCTTTGCTTCACTGGACAGATAACACAATGTCAGAGTACTTAGGGCAAAAAAAAGTACCAGAAGATCAGCCAAGATTTTGTGGCTGTAGAAAACAAGCTCTTCTGGGTCCCTTGGCCTAAAACAAGAGCTGAGGCATGTTCACGTGTGCCTGGTTGTCACCACTCCCACCACACATGGAATCACTCTGCAGGTATCTGCAGAGACATTGCTGAGAGCATAAATTAGCAATATCTGTGGAAGATAGAAGCTCAGAAAAGTATCTGCCATGGAAACCAAGACTAAAGCTGATGCTTTAGGAGTAAGACATCAGAAAGCTGCCAAGATCGAGCATGCGTTTCCTTGTGAGCTCATCTCGCGTGGAGCAGTAACAAATGTCTTTGCCCCTTCAAGCTTCTCTGCCCACTTTGTATAAATTTAGTTGTGCTCAGCTCTGACAGAGTGCTGAAGCATGCCTTGTCTGTTTTTTTCCAGTAATTTTTGTTTATATCAGTCTTTTAATACTGCTTTCCGAGTAATGCCTAGGAGGAATTATTCATGTGTTGGATTGGACTGAAACTTCAGAGAAGATGTGATTTCTATCGTGGTTCTCCTGCTACTGTTGTGTAATTGCTTTGTGAGACGCAAATGCTCCATTTCACCCGTTAATGGGAGGATTAATTCCCATCCCCACTGTCTGCAGAGCAGCACAGCCACGTCCCTAATGATGCTCTGCTTCTCCTGGTGTGACAGGCTTGGGGTGCTGCAGGCACGTGGGCTCTGCTGGCAGGGGGACGGGCAGGATGGTGCTGAGCTCTGGGCACAGGGTCCCTTCCGTGACCGGCGGCAGCACCGCTGGCCCAGTGCCCTACGGGCACCTGTCCCAGGGCATGGCTGTGAAGGATTTGACACTGAAACACTTGTGATTTATTGCTGGCCAAAGCAAGCTCCTAGGGCTTGCAGTCAGAGCCAGACAGTGCCCAAAGGAAGGATTCGGGAGGGATGGGGACTCTGTCACTGGGTTGGCACTCACGGGTGAAGCAAAGCCTGATTAAATGGACCTGGAGACTTCCCCTGCTCAGAGCTGTGAATTACCAAAGGATCCTGCCTGCCCTGTCTGCACCCGTGTAGGAGAGGGGAGGGCAAAGCATGGAACTCACCAGACCAAATGCTACAGTGGGGGCTTCTGGAAACTTCCCAGACCCTGCAGGGAGTTGGCAGCCCCAGGACAGGAGATGGAGAGAACCTGGGGCTGCCCTGGGTGCAGGAGCAGCTAGTGCCTGTCCCAGAAACTCTTGCAGAGAACTTGCTCTGCCTTTATGTAACTTCCAAAACCACTCCAAAGAAGGTAATCCAGGATGCCTGTGCAGTTCCCCGAGACATGTTTTGCATAGCTTTCTCTTCACTAGCTGCTGCTGAAGCCTGTACAGTCTGTAACATTGCATTGGGATCTATGGCTGCAGCAGCCCCCTAGGAACATCAAGTGCAGCCCAGACCTTCCCTGCCACACATGTTCAGAAACTGAGCCTTTGGAAAGTGTCTGGGAGGCTTTGGAACATGAGAGGAAAGTTAAATTATTGCCTTAAAATAGATGTATATATGTGTGTGCGTGTGTGTGCACGCGCGTGCTTCATCTTTAGGCCATTCAGTAAAAAATCTAAGAATGGGAAATGCCCAGGAGCCTCCAGCCATCTCTGCTCTTCCATCCTTTCCCTTACTATGTGGGCTGGAACTCGGGCTCCTTGCAGTCTTTGCCACTACAGCCAGTCTGCTGCTGGGAACCCCAGCCCTTCTCAGGAGCCAGAAATGCCACTTCTGATGTTTGCTCTCTGCTGGGAAAGGTCTCTGAGATGGAAGGATTTCCGAGATGGAGTGCTCTGCAGAGACAGCTGTGGCATGGCTCTAAGGTCAAGGAAGAATCCAAATTCCTGGGAGGTTGTCAGACATCCAGGTCGTGCAAATGGCACTGCCTGCCCTGGCTCCAACCTACAGCAGCTTCACACTGGGACTCATGTGCCTCTGGGATTCCACCTGGGATTTCTGTTTGTTTGGGTGTTGCTTGGGTTTTTCTGTGGTTGTTGTTTCTTTCCTAGAGCATCTGGGAACACTTGTCCAAATCTCACGGCAGGACACTGTGCCCTTTGCACACAAAACCCGAGAGCGTAACTTGGCTATCTATGCTCTCTGTGACTCCTTCTGTCACCCCCAGTTCAAAGGTGAGGATAGGGAGGGGCATTTGTTCCCAATCCAGAAGTGCAGGACAAGGTAGGTACTTTTAGGGCGGTTCTGCTGCAGCTCAGTTGCTGGAAAGCACAGACATGTCTCAGACAATCCTCACAGAGATTGTTTTCAGACAACAGAAGGCATGATTGCATGATTAAGCTAGTTAAATTCCATCAGAAGAATTTTTAATAGGGAAAAAATCAGGACTGGCCTCAGTGAGGGGGATGCAGCCCTGGAGCTGTGTGGAGCAGCCCCATCCTGCACTGGGCCAAAGAACAGCCAGAGCTGGGTGAGCACTGTGCGAGCTCCATTCAGGGAGACCATATAAGAGTAAAGTCTGTGGTGTTACTGATAATGAATGTCTCCTCATTTCTCATAAATTCTCTGCTAAATGTACGATCACCGAGTTAATAATGCAGTGTGGGACATAACGAATAACCAGTGACAGTGAGTAAATCATGGCTGGTAAGAAACAGAACAGACAGAAACTTCTGGCACTTTTACTAGGCAGAACCAACTTGGAAGGAGCCCTGCATCCAGCAAAGCAGAGCTGAGGACACCTCTGATGTGGGT